AAAGCAGTGAAGAAAAAAGCCATGCTATGCTGGAGAGGATGTTTGTCACATGATAGGGCACAGCTCTCTTTGCTGGCTGCCATCCCAGAGGAATTGATTCAAAAACCAAAGTGAATGCATTTCTCCACCTAGAACAGGACTATCATATAATGGAGGCCTAAGAAACTGGCTTTCTAAATAGTGTAATTTGGGGAGTAATGAACGCCACCCTGCAGGTCTTACATTGTTTAAAGCCAGCCTCTTATTGTAGAAAGTTCAAATACATACAAGGTAGACAGATGATTGTAACAGCTGCCTCACTCAGCTTAAACGATTAACAACTCAGGCCAACCTGCTTTTATTTGTAGCAATTCCCCATGATTTTTAAATGAAAGGTCTACTTATTATCAGTCATAAATATTTTAGCAAGTATAAAAAATAAAGAAACTTTTTATACGTACAAGTGTAGCAGACATGTCTGCCCAGTACTGGTGGGCTAGGAGTGACACTTGGTTCTTTATTTCCATAATACTGCTATATTGCTTTTTATCAGGACTCAGATCAAAGGTCTGTGTGACTCAAATGCTCATGTCAGCTGGTGGACTGGGTGAGTACAGCCCCTCCCTCAACAGCCTCCACAGAAACGTAGGCCCTGGTCTGTTCAGGGGCAGGGCCTTGCTGAGCTACGAGGAGCTGAGGTCAGCCTAGTCCCAATTAAAACCATTTCCCCTGAATTATGGCTTCTCACTGACCCAATGGGTTGCATGCTAATTGCACCTGGTGCCAGGTACTGGTTTGTTTTATCTTAGCAAGACAAACAGTGCTTACTCCGTAACAGCCCTGCCTGGCACCATCATGTCAGGGGTTGGGCTATTCACTACGTGCCTCCAAAGCACACCCTGCGCCCTATTCCTTCTGTGACTGTATTTGATAACTACTGGCTGCGGCCTTTGCCTGCTGCCATCAGCTGCACTGACCAGGACCCAGGACTCAGCTTCTCCACTCTGAGTCTCATTTCTGTCTGTTCCTCAATTCGTCTTGTGCTGTGGTAGCTCACAGGCCAGGACCCACGGCAGAAATCCTGCTAATGTTCCCTTCCCTGCTCCCTACATAGAAGAACAATGCCATTATCATGCGTACAATTAGCAGTTGTTCCTTGTCATCAGAAAGTGGCCAATGTTCACATTTCCCTGGTTTTCACATAAACCCTGTGTATGTTTGAATCAGCCTCTCCTAAATCCCACAGATAACAATTTTCTGTTTCTAATTTCTCCTTTTATCCATTGGTCCCCCACCACTTGAGTGATTGTTTTCTTTTCCTTTCAATTATTAGGTTAAAAAAATGTGATTCAGAGTTTCCCATAGTCCTTGTACGGGATCATTTTGTTCACAAGATATCACTTAACATCAGTGCATCTCTATACTTCCAGAAGCCTTCTGGAGAGATCTTGATATGAGTAAGAAAACTTCTTATTGATTAGCTTTGTACTTTCACTGGAAGGTATAAAATACCTGCATGTGGCTCTTTTTGTTAGGAGTCAGAGATGATCACTGGCTAGATCATTAATTTTTCTCTCCTCCCCCCATACTGGAACTAAATCCAGGGCTTCACAAGAGCTACATACACTTTACTTTTTTTTTTTAAGACAAGTTTTCACTAAGTTGCTAAATTGCCCAGAGAAGACTCAGACTTGCCATCCTTCTGTCTCAGCTTCCCAGGGTGTTTGGATTACAGGCTTGTGGCCCTATGCCCAGTGTCCCCAGTTCTACCTGTGTGATTAATATATAAATACACAGTTTGGGATTGACCTATTTCCCTATTTCCTATGGGGACAAAGAAATAGAGGGAAACAGGAGGGAGAGGAAGGAAAGGGGAATGAAAAAGAATTAAGAAGTGTTGTGTACATGGACAAACTCCTTAAAGGAATATGATCATTATATACTTCAGGCACATACTAATACAAATTGAAAAAAGACAAGAGAATGCTTTTGATCAAGTTATGCTAATAAAATTGAAAATTTAGAAAAAAACAAAAAATTACAATTTGGTGAGCTTGGGTGAGGATTTACTTCTTTAGATGTCCCTTGGGGTGCAGTGCTAGGGATTGAACACAGGGCCTCACACATGCCACTGAACTACATCCCCAGACCCCATTCCTTTTTTTTTTTTTTTTTTTTTTTTTTGTTGTTGTTGTACTGGGGATCAAACTCAGGACCTTGCACTTGCGGGACAAGCGCAATGCCACTGAGCTAAATCCCTGACCCCCAATACTTTTTAAGCTTAGGAAAATGTTAGTATTTTGAGTGCATCATTCCTTCGGCATGTTTTGGTGGAAAACTGACATAAAGAGCAAGTTTTCATCTATCATTTGGTTGCTATGCAATTTGTATAGGAAGGGCAACTGCAATACTCTCACATAAAAAGCAGTATGATTTATTCCACATCTTTTTTTTTTTTTTTTTGGTACCAGGGATAAAACCTGGGCCCTTGTGCTTACCTGGCAGGTGGCAGAACCACTGAGCTAAATCCCGGGCCCTATACCATTTTTTTTTTTAAAGGGAGGCTGGTTCCTTAGCATACTTCAGTTAATACAATGTATTTTAGTTGCACTGTGACCTTACTGACTCACTGTAAACAAACTGGACATATTTCAACTGCAGTTGTGGTATACAGAGATTCTCCAAAGGTTCTACTTGTATTCCAGTGGGGACTTCTCAGGTTGTCTCCGAGTCCTTCTGACATACCCACAGCATTTCTGGACAGTTCTGCTGTTTTATGACCATATAATTCAGTTTTACCTTTATATCTGCTGCCCCAGACTGAGAAGCCCTCCCTGGTGCAAATCACTGCTTCAGACTCCAGTGCAGATGGTGGAGTGGTCACTGTTACTGGATTCTCTGCTCCCCTACGGCTTTTCCAACTTCATAAACTAAAACGTGTTTTAAGGAGAAAATGTCCTGCATGTATACTTGCTGCTTCCTTAACAGACTTTTACTTACTTTCTCTTTTTTGGCATCTGTGTCTTTTGTTGTTTATGTGAAAATCTTGTTATCCAATGTTATAATTATTGCATTTGCTTTATGATAAAGTGACAGCACACGATATTACAAGTAAAGCAATTTCATTATAACGAATTCTACTAACACTAGTGTTCCTGAAAAAAAGTGTAAGGTTTGTTCAGTTTGTGTCTATTCTTTTTTTTTTTAAGTGGCTATTAGCGGTTCCGGGGCCTGCCTTGCAAGCGCCAGGACCCGAGTTCAATCCCCGGTACCAAAAAAAAAAAAAAAAAAAAAAAAAAAAAAAAAAAAAAAAAAAAAAAAAAAAAAAAAAAAAAAAAAAAAATTTATTGGCCAGGAAGTGAGACCCCAACTCTACCCAAAGGAACCCTCTCAGAACCAGCTCTGAAGTGTCTCCAAGGGCAACGACTTAAAGGACTTCTTGGACTTTCTAAGCCACGAAAATGGGGTTAGGGTGGAAGGAGCCACCCCACGCTGGCCTTACCTTCATGTCTCCTTGGCCTGTAGTCGCACAAATAAATATCACCAGGGGCTCCCTAATCAGATTCGCCTCAACGGCAAGACACAAGTGTCAGAGCTCTGGCTGTCATGAACAGGCCCCGGACATGGCTCCCTCCTTCACTCAGTGACCGAGAAGAGGGCCCAGCGGAGCCTGTCTCGCAGAGGACCTAGCCTCCTCTTCCGCTGAGTCGGCTCGACCAGCCCGACGACCAGCCCGATCGATGCCTTTGGGCCCAGCCTCTCGGCCGCATCTGGGACAGTGCCTATCTGGCTGCCAAAGCGCACCAGAAGCTGACTGCTGAGCATCACCACAGGCCCGCAACGAAGGTTCCAGACCTGCGCTGCCTTCCGCTTCCGGTGTCAACCGGAAGTCTGTTTGAGTTTGTTTTTATGTAATCCACCAGAAACTTACTTTTATCACGACATGTTTGAAAATCTCAAAATAACTTTATTTGTTTAGGCCAACGAGCTGCGATTAGTTTGTTTACTTTTCGTTGTCTTTCTATAAATGTAATTTTAAAAATTTGATTATGCAGCTGCTTAGGTATATAAAGATTTTCAGGGTCACAAGATATAATATGTGCAAAATGAAATCTAGCTTTTTTCCCTGCCCCCCACACTCAGAAACATCTCTTCCTCTAAAAATAAGACATTTAGCAGGCACAGTGGTACACACCTGTAATCTCAGCAGGAGAATCACCTCTAGTTGAAGCCCTGCCTAGTGTGTTCAAGGCCAGCCTGAATTACACAGTGAGACCCTGTCTCCAACTACCAACCAACCAAATGAAATAATGACACTTTATTTCTAAGGTTGTTTCCATTCTTTCTTTCTTTTTTCTTTTTTGCGGTTGCGAAGCAGGCAGCGGCACCACTGAGCTAAATTCCTGGCTCATTTGGTTCCATTCTTAATCTAAGATATGTGCAAAATACATTTATGTTTTGAACTTTCTTGAACCAGAAGCAACTTACTGAATACACATTATTGCACCTTGCTTTGGACACTTTATGTATCCTGAAAATGACACACAGGATATTCTGCATTCTGTGTTCTATCTGTTAAGGTATCTGTTTTGTGATGAACCCTATTAAAGAACATTTGAGTTGTTTGCCATCTTTCTCATTTCAAATAGTGCTGCATCCAGGAACCTGCAGCATATAGCTAGTTGTACTCTCCAAACTTTTAGGGCATAGATTGTTTAAAGTGGACCACTGGGTCAAACATATGCATACATTTCATAGAGACTGTCTAATTTCCCAATTACAGTTTTTATCATTTTTCTACTGGCAGCAGCTTTATATGTAAGATGCCATTTTTTGCCAATTTCACTCATTAACTAAATTTTGGAATTTTCCCAAATACAATAGGTGAGAAACTGTGTTGGTGTAGTTTCTAATTTAATTTGTCTTATTACATGAGAGATGGAGTGTGTTTTCATATATTTAAGAAACTTTTTCAGCTTTAATTGAGTTTATTGGTACATTTTAGGGATACAGTACAGTTGCATTCATTGTTTTAAGAAACTTATATATTTCTTATTTGTCTCCCCTGTTTAACTTTATTATTATAATCTGCTCTCCTGTTTCTTAACCTCTGAAAATCAGGGAGAAAATGTGCTGTGCTAATGACCCAGCAGCTCCTGAGCCTCCCACATGCACCCCTGGACAGTGCTCCTGGTTCCTGCACTTGCCCTCTCACGAGGCCCCGGAAGAAAGTTTCACTCAGCCAGCGTTTCTCCATCCTGTCTGGTCACACAGTGCTCAGCTCACTCTCTTTCATACTTACCCAATAAAACGATGACCCTCAAGGGAACAGGAGATGTCAGTCAACATTAGCTGTCCTATTAATCACCAACATGTGTACACTTGCAGCAGAATGTCAGGAACATCAAAAATATTTAATGTGCACATCAGTTCAAAAATATTGTTGAAATCTTACTGAGTGCCCAGCAACTTTTTATTATTGTATCTTCAATAAGAGGAGTACTGGCTATGAAATAACCACTGCACAGCAAGATGTTTTCTCCTCTTAGCATAAAACCCCAGATTCCTGTACTTTTTATTCACACAACAGTGGTCATATCTGAGACCATCCCAGCCTGGCCTGGCTGCCTCAGGAGAGCCCTAAGCTGCTTTCTGGTGCCCAGAGCCATGAGCACAGCGCGGCTAAAGCAGAGCCTGGCTGCCTCAGTTTCCCTATTTGCCGCAACCCTCCTCAGAGCCCACAGAGGCACTGAAGAGATCTCCTTTCAGTAGAGCTTTCGCATCACTTGCCACAGTCTCAAGGAAATAATTTTGCAAGTAATACGTCTTTGTAAAGGAAAAACCAGTAGCAAGGGGCCCTCCCATGAGTGAAAGAGCCTTCACCATGTACTGCTTCATCTTCTCCCAGAAGGATTCACTGCACTCAGCTGACAGCAAGCGAGGAGACTGAAGGTTTGCCTTCAGCCGTTCCACGGACACGTGCAAATCCTTGGCCATCTTTTCCAGCGATGCATCATCCAGCCCGAAGGAAGACCTGTAGAGGGCTAAGGTGTCCTGCATCTTCTCTACATCACCATCACTGAAGAGGCCTACGAGAGGGACGGTGGCTGATGCTGCAGCCCGCATGGACTCCCACCAGATGTTCTGCTTTAGGGAATCTCGCTTCTGATCAATGGCAGCTTCCGCAATGCTGGACAGGAATTGCATGAAGATGTGAAGCTTGAGAGCTGGCAGGTCCCTCAGAAGGGTGTTCTCCAGCTCAGGGAAGTCGTACTCAGCCCTCTCAAGGCTGGAGACTAAGAAGACGCGATCAACTGTCACACTGACCTCCTCCAACTGCCTCACAAAGTAATTTCGGATCTCTTGCAGGATTTCTTCCTTATTGAAGGTCTTTGGCTTATTTCTTTGGTTGCTGAATACATCATGATCCACTTTTGTTCGAACAAAGTAGACCTTCTTCTTCATGTTTGTGATGACTCTGGCTAGTTGCGCATCGATGTTTTTGAAGCGGGTGGCAGAGATGATAAAGAAGAGGTCATAATCAGCAATTTCCTCCAGGTACTTTGATAGCAGGAAGTCAGTGCACCCGTGGCCGGGCAGGTCCCATATTGTCACACCGGGACACTTTAGATACTGATATGCAGTTACCTCCGTGGTTGTCACCACCGGCCCAGTGGGAGCTGCGCTTTCTTCTTCATGCCCCACCCTCCGCAGGGCATTGATGAAAGTGGATCTTCCTACTCCGGTCTCCCCTGTCACTGCGATGCTCAGTGGCGCGTTCTCGATGATTTTCAAGGCAGCTCTGATTGCAGAAGCTGCCTCTGGAACGTTCCCTTCCTCCAGATGTGACAGAATTGAATCCCAGGTTTCCTGTGAGAGGATACGACTTCTCATCTTCACATCTTTTAGAAGTGCGCCAAGGCTGTAAGGGGCAGAAGCACTGCCCTCTGTGCCAGACAGCACGCAGATGGAGTCCTGGTCCATGGCTAGGCTGCGGAGCACACTAGGGAGAGGACACACGTGGGAAGAGCAGGAGTGAGCACAGCAGGGGATGCCTCAGTTTTCCTATCAAGTCACAAGAGAGCCGCCTCCCCACAACGGGAAAATCGTCCTTGCAGACAGATGTGGCTGGGGCCCCTCGCTTACCTGCAAACCCAGGCCCACCCAGGCCCTTGCTATGCCTCGCTCTGCCCTGCTCCTGAGGAATCCTTCAAGAATTTCAAGGCCTAATTTTCCACCAAAACACCCACGCCACCTTATACAATTTACAGTGTGTTGGCTTTATTTGTTATTAGGAAAATAACTGCACTTGGTGATCAATTAAAAAGGCAGCAGCAGAACTGAGGACACCACTGCACACTTGTGTGACACCGACACTTGGCTCCATGACTAAGCATAAAGCTATAATCATGACAGTGTGATGATTGTGAAAGAACGCACAGCTACACGAGTGGGGCGGAGAGAGTCGAGTAAATGTGACCCATGGCCATGTGGTCATCTGGTCTTAGATGAAGACGCAAAGGCAAAGTGAAAAATAAAGACACTCTCTTCAAATGAAGCACTGGGACTACCAGGCAGCCACATGTAAGAAAGGGCATCTAGATAGAGAACCTGTAGCCTTCACAAAATTAACACAACATTGATTCTAGGATCAATTCAGAGAATAGCTGAGGACTTTTGTTCACCTACAAACCTGCACACCAGTGTTTCTAGACCCTTCCTCCGCAACAGCAGACCTTGGATACAACTACTGTTCTGTGAGTGAGTGAATTAATAAGCTGCGGTCCCTCTGGAGTGGGACTTATTCAATTCTGGAAAGAAACGAGCCTTCCAGCCATGAAAAGACGTGGAGGAAGCCAAACCCTCAATGCATATTACTGAATGAAAGAAGGCTGTATTAGTCCAACTTTGAGAAATTTAAGAAAAGGCAAAATTATGAAAAATTTGAAATATCAACAGTTGCCACGACCACAGTGGAGTCTGCGTGACAATGCCGGTCACCTGGCAGAAACCAGACCCGAGGTATCGTCCCCGCGGGGTTAAGCCTCCTGGAAGTCCTTGGCACACACCGCATGCGAAGTCAGCCGTGAAGAGAATAGCGGGCCTCTCTGCCTGCAGTTTGGGGACATTGGGTTCATTTATAATTCTGTTCTATTTTGTCTTTATTACTATTTGTTCATTATCTGTAGAATTGTATTCTGGGCCCAGGAAAGATCAAGAACAATTAGATGTTCCTAGAGATGGGGAGGTGTTGGGGCACAAGAGGACGGGCGGCCAAAGTGCTGACCCTGAGCCCCGGACTGTGAAGTCCTGAAGGTGATCCTGAAGGTGACATGCTGAAGCCAGTCCTTTGTTTTACAAACTTCCCCTTCTGACTGCGTATAGGTGTGGTCTTACCTTGACTTAGTGGTCTTAGCTTTTGTGATTGTATATAGGTGTGGTCTCACCTTGACCTTGTGGTCTTAGCTTTTACAGTACTATTGTCTATCTTTCTCATGCCTGCTTGTGACTGAAATCACTCTTGAAGTGTGCCCTTGAAACTAGTATATATACATCTAGAGTTAGAAATAAAATTGCAGCAGCTACTACCTTCACTACTCAGTGCTGTGTGGTTTCTGACTGTCGCCGCCGAACCTGCTCCCACCTTTCTGAAGATCCCTGTTCTCCTCGTGAAATCCAGTCTTTGCTCCCCTACCGTGGTAGCAAACAGTTGTCAGGGGTCAGAGGTGGGAGGATGGAAAGGCGCAGCACAGAGGACTTTTCAACAGTGAAACTCCTTGGTGTGGTCCCAAAATTGGACACAGGGCACTGGGATGGCCCAGTCCGATGGCACTAAGGCTAGAGTCGACCCTGAACATTGTGTTGGGAGGCTCATGCGTGACCCCCTGGTGGGTGTGGAGACGGAGGAGCCTGTACATGGGCAGACAGGGGGTGCACCGCACCCTCGACATTCTTCACATTTTTTCTCTGAAACAAACTGCTCTAAAAAATAAAATTGTAAAAAGAAAGAAAAAGAAAACCATGCTGATTTTCCGCTTCGGGTTTTCTAAGAGCCAGCCCACCTGTCCTGGAAGCCCACTGCTTGCCAAAACCAGCTTGCGTAATGAAGGGGCAACAGCCAGGCAGGGAGAGAAGTCCTCGGGCCTGACCCAAGCAGAATGTCATCAGGAGAAGACAGACACGAGGAGAGGCTGGGGTGGGGCTCGGAAGGGGCTGTGTGAAGGGGAGCAAACCAAGGAGATTTCTCTGCCACTTTCCCTGATGTCAGGGAAAGTGTCCTGGCTCTATAATCCTGGACCTTTTGGATAATGGAAAACTTACTCTTTTAAGACAGGGCATCAGGAAAGAATCACATGCCCAAGACTATATATAATGAGCCACATGTGAGACCACTGTCCTGAACCTCACAGAAAGTGTAGAACTTTTAGACCAGGAACCAAGACCCCTCCCATCAAGGTTAATGTCCAGGCAGAGGACAGGATGAAGAGGTCCCCTTGGCTACAGGTATGGGAGTGGGCGTACCCTCCAGGGCTTCCTGGAAGTGGTCTACTGCAGCCCAGGAGAACAGGACACAGTAAGTACAGCTTCGGGAAGAATTTTCCTGAGCAGGCATTCAAGATCTGGTTGTGTGTAGGCCAGAGACACAAGCATTCTCTGTGAGGAAGGGAATGGGGAAGGCCTGCGTGTCACTGGGTGGGTGAGGGAGCCAGCAGAAGGGTCTGCTTCTGTCTACCCATCAGGGATTTCTTCACATAAATGAGAGGGGAAACCTTGAGCACCGGGCAGCTCTGTGGCTAACCCATCGCAGTGTGGACAGCAGCCCACCCTACACCTCCTCAGTGAAGCAGAAGGTGTGCTACACACAGGCTGTGAAAGCCTGCGGGCTGGAGACCACACCCGACCAGGGCCTCAGCGAGGAGCCAAATGGGTGAGACCTCAGCCTCACATGTGCAGGTCCGGAGGCCGCCAGGGTGCAGGAGGCACGAGGACGCAGCAATGTCTGCCTGAGACCCCTCCCGAGGAGCTCAGCAGGTAGAGAGTGGAGCCAAGTGACAGAAGGGAGAGAGGAGAGGTGACATCCCGAGTCAGTGTGCTGAGCACATTTCCACCACACAGAGCCCATGCCTGCTGTCTGAGACGCACACATGGCCTTGTGCTGTGTGTGGACTTCTACCACACAGGACTTCCGGCTAAGCAGTGAAGCTGTGGTGGCTGGGACACAGCGCTGCCCAGGATTCCTTAGACGTCACCTCAGAGGCTTTAGGAATGTGTCCCCTGAGTGTGAGTAGCCGAGACATGGGAGGGAAGCGAGACATAACTAATAAACTTGACCCAGTAAACCTCAGGTGTACCTGCACGTAATTCCTCATCTCAGTCTCACGGCTGATGAGGACTTTCAAATGGTTTTCACCTTCAAATGAGGGATCAAAGACACTGAGGGAGGGAACCGTGGACTCATCCTTAGTAAGTATCAGGCCCGGGGTTCAAGGCAACTCCTCCCTCCAGGTGCAAAAAAGGCAAAGGGCACACACAGGGTGGGGAGAGGCACACCAGGCTCAGAACAAAGGTTCAGAGGCCCATTCTCCCTGGCTGGATGGTCTTCCTTGACTTCAAGTGCTTAGACCAGCGGTGTTTGGGGTCAGGGCGCCTAGGGACGGACCCTGCCACGTGATCCTGCAGCAAACCGACTGGCTCTGAAAATATCCAAAGTGTTAAAGTTCTCTGACTGGTTTATAGCTGTGCACCATCCCCTCTCGGCCTTCTAAGTTCCTGACACCTGGAACCGAGCATCCAGATTCTCCAGCCTTGGACTTACTGATCCAAAGTTCTATTTTTAAGGCATGTATTAATTCCAAAATATCATCTCACTCACCAGCTCCTTGTAGAAGACAGATTTCTGGTGATAGAACTGCTCTCCTACAGTTCTCCTAGAAGAGCTGAACGTGCTGGTGTGGTGGAGCCCAGGCACAGGAGACACCTTCTGTCCACACCTGTCCTCCCTGGCAGGGCAGGCCGGGCTCGAGTGGCAGGCACAGAGGAAGACTGTGCCGACCTCACCACCGATGACGTCTGAACGCATGTGAGGACTCTGAGGACTTAAATGATCTCTGGCTTCTGCCCTCCTCACTCAGGAATCTGACAAACAGCAGGGAAGGGAGGAGCCTAAAGGGCAGGATACTGATTGTAGGCACAGAAAGTAAAAGCGAAATTCTAGAGGCTCCTCTTCCCAGAAACAGAGCCCTTGCTGGGCAATGAAAGTGAAAGACATTTCACTGTCTGGGGGTTACTGGTGAGGGGAGGGCACAGGAGGCCAGGACAGGGTGTTCTGGCAGCTGAGAGGTCGCTCTGAGCAGGCTGGGGTTTCAGACCAGGCAGGATCTGAACCGGTGTGTCCAGAGTAGGAGCTGAGCCCTGGGCTAAGGACTCTGGCAGCGAAGCAGAGTAAAGAACAGGTCGGGGCTGTGTCCTTGATCCCAGGCACAGAGCTTCCAAAGCCTAGGTGTTTCCACTTTAAAGACTGACTTTGTTAAATCATTGTGAACTCTGAGCAGAATTTGAGAGTCTAGGAAGGAAAAAACACATAAGGGGCTCAAATTCAATCATTCACTGGAGACCTGGGAAGGGCTGTCCTTCTCACGGAGGCGTGATTCTGGGGGTGGGGGCTGGGAGGGAGCAGCGCCTACCGCCTCTTCTGAGCGCAGACTCTCTGCCCTCACAGCAAATGCCGTGTTCCTCAGCCTGGCAGCTCTGGGGGCCTCAGCGCCCAGGGACTCCACTGCACCTCACTGGATGCCAAGGGCGATCAGATCCCTGGCCGTGGGCCTGATGCCACTCTCTAATCCCCTTGTCCAACACAAACATGAGCCTGATGACCTTACGCTGAGCGAAAGATGATATTTCATGATAGCACTTGCACGCGGAATCTGAAAAAGTGTCAAACTTGGAGACAAAAGCAAAGGCTGTAGCCTCTTCCAGGACTGGGCTGTGGGCAACATGGGCAAGTTTGGTCCAAGAGTAAAACTTTCAGTTGTAACATGAAGAGGTTCTATAGATAAAATATAATGTGGTAACTATAATTAATACAATGCATCATACACAGGTAATCTGCCAAGAGAATGGAGCTTATGTGTTGTAACCACACACACACATGCATGCACACACCCACACACACACACACACACGCTGTGTGATAGGTTCATTAGCTCAGTTGTGGGATCATCCCACAAAGTGTGCTTGCATCACAGCCATGTTGTGTGCTGTAAATATATCCTTATAATTTTTATTTGCTCATCACATCTCAGTTTTATCCTTTTTCTATTTTACAGAAAAGAAAAGCCTTTTTGTAGAAATGGTATGGAAAATTAGTGCAAAGAGACAGAATAGAGTCTTCCAGAGAGTACCTGTTGCTGAAATAAGAGTCCTTAGGAGGAGAGGAGAATGCTTTCTGTGGTGTTTTTTAAAACTCGTGTTCTGCGCTAAGGACACTAAACATGCACTCTGCCTTCCTCACCTGAGCACTGAGTGTCTAACCCTGCATTGTGGACTCTAGGTAGAATGCAGTAGAGCAAGTCTCCAGACCTTCTTCATGCTCTGACAAACTGTTTCTGTGGATGAGTACCTCCATGCTTCCCGCTCCTGCCTCCCAGCCTCTGCCAACCAGCATTCCACGAATTTGACTATTTTAGATGCAGTCGACACTTGGAATTCTGTCGTATTTATCTTTCAGCAACTGTTATGCTGATAGAGCATAGAGTCTTCAAGCTTCATCCACATTACTGCATGGCAGGATTTCCTTCTTTTCACGGCTGCATAGTATTCCACTCCGTGTCTACACCACCTTTTCTTCATCCATCCACCCGCAGAGAGACACTTAGATTGTTCTCATACCATGGGTGGTATGGATAGGGCTACAAGGAAGCTTGAGTGCTAATCCTTTCCTCAAGCTCCTAATGTCAATTATATACACATTCTCAGACATTCAATTGCTGGGTCACAGAAGGTAGCGCTATGTTTAATTTTTTGAGGAAATTCCATATTGATCCCTAAGCAGCTGCACCATTTTACATTCCCCTAGACAGCGTCCAGGCGTCCAAGCTCTCTGCAGCCTCCCCAGCGCTCCTCTCTCTCTAACAACCAGCCAGCCAGAGTGGTGAAAGCTGATGGTTATCCTTCACTGATTTACAATTTCTCAATCATTAGAAGCATTAACTATTCTTTCCATGTACCTGTCACCCTTTGTATTTCTTCTCTGGGAAAACATATTCATGTTTGTAGCTCATTTTTGAGCGGAGCATTATTTTATTTGTTTTCTTTTTTGTTCTGTTAAGAGCAGACAATACATTCAGGAATTTATTTTCTGATTTTTAAAAATTATTGAATACAGTAATTTGATTTCCCCCTCAGGGCACAGAAAATTTGTTCACAGGGCTGAGGTTTCTTAAGTAAACATTTTCTTACGAGATAAATTTAGATTTCTAAAAAAAGCGTTGAGGCCGGCAGGGAGTTCACAGACACTCGGCCCCTCTGTCGCCTCCGAGGGTCCCGCTCCGATCCCTCAGCACCCTCCCCACAATCGGAAGCCAGCCTGGAGTGGCCTTTGCCAGCCGGCAGACGTGGCTCAGGTTGGCTGCGTGTCATTTCCTGCTCCACAGCCCCAGAGTTCTCTTCTCAGCTGTGAGTTTCTCAGTCCTGCCTTGTCTTTAGTGAGCCTGAGTGTTTCCCCTTCAGTTTTGTTGGCCTCCTCCTCAGGTCTGGCCTGGCTGGGGTCTCTGGGGAGGCACATGTCGAAGGCGCGTGCTGTCTCATCGCTCCGGTGTTTCCGGAGCCGGGCGGCAGGTGACCTTCAAGTAATCACCTGGCCACGGCGGGAAGACTGGCCTGCTGCTTGGGGGCTCTGTATCATCTGTTCTCGGAAATGAGCCGGGGAGTCCAGCCCAGCGGGGAGGAGGACGTGAGGCAGGAGGAAAGTTAGCCCTCACCCCAGTTTGTAAGGGGCACATACATAGCTAACTTGGATTCTTTGCTGAGATAGACTCGTCTGTCCTCCTTTGTTAGAAGTTTATGTCAGTGGGGACTGGTGCATTTGTTTTATACTTTAGCTTACACTCTAGTACTATGCCATTTATGCTAGTGATTACTTACATTGTTGCCCATTTGGCCAGGGACAGCTCTCTTAACTCCTGTGTCCTTTTGACCTAAACCCAAAGGTTGGTTTTGGAGCTCCTGGGCTTCCTCACTCCTTGGCAGCACCAGACGCTCCAAGCTCATCTCCTGTGTTCCCTGCCTGACCCAAAGAATGACCCGTTCCTCCAAGGAATCCTGGCTCCTTTCACAGGAGTCAGTACCAGGAAACCAGTCTGGGCACGGACCGGGCTCGTTGTTCCTGTGACAGGGAAGTTTCTGAGGACAGGGCCATGTAGCGTATACCCATGCTAGCTAGTGCCTGTGAGCATGCTTCCAAGTGCTTCCGTGGCCACTCATTTGCCTCCATACTAAACTACACGTGGGTTTGTCCTGCTGTCTCTAAGCAAGGCCTCAGGGTCCGCTCTGAGTAGTTACAGTAGCCCTGTTTACACCCGTGTGGCCCTGTCCTGCCGAGGACTATATTAATGGTTTGCACAGTCTCCTGCTAGCCCACAGGAAATTGTTCTACTTTCTGTTCATATTCATTAAACACTAGGAATTTCTGCTGGGCAGATTCTCGTTCACCTCCATGGGCACATCTGAGACGGACATTTTACGTGGCATGGAGTTGTGCCAGTCCTGCTTCTACTTGGGTTGGAAGTGCAGCAGTGCCCTCCAACAGGACAGCAGACACAAACACTCCCCTGGTGGCCTATGCTATGGCTCGTGTCCAGCTGTCCCCCCAAAGCCTCATGAGGTCATAGGTGGGGCTTTTCAGAGGTGTCTGGACCAGAGTGTATAGTGCTGGGATCAAGGGTGTATGATTACTAAATCTGTCCATGGACTGGACTGGCATCATTCTGAGTAGGATTAGGATGCCCCACCTGGGTGTGAGTGCTCCCCATCCTGAGGGCAGCCTCAGGGAGGTGTCAGGGACAGAAACAGGGCTGCTGCTTGTCACTCGTCACGTGCCCCTTCTGTGCTACTTCACCGCTTTGCTGTCTTCTGCCCGCCATAAACTGTTTCTCCTTTGCGATGCCCCTCTGCCAGGCCACCCTGCCTCGGAGCCAGACACCTAAGATCTGAAACCTCTACAGCCTGTGATCCAAGTAAACCTTCCCTCCTCTGACTTTGGGTGTTGGATATTTTGACTCAGTAACGAGAAAAGTAACTAAGACAGCCTAAGGGGCATCCATAAGCCCCTTTTACCTCTGAGGATCAGTGTTGCCTTTGTCTCTGTACCCTTCCTTACCAGGTGTTTTCACCCAGTGGGGTTTAGTGAACCTCTGATAGTGAACTTGAACTCTTCAATTGTGGGTACTGAAAACCTGTTTCTTTTACATTACATGATTTGAATCAGTTTTAATGTTGTAAGGTTTTTTTGGGGGTGCAATATAGACATGGGAATAATTGCTGCATTCTTGTGGATTTTACCAAAGTCAGCAAAATCAGCTTTTTGAATGCAGAAAACCCTCGCCTATAAACTTGATCAGTTCCTGAGGGCTCGCTGTAACTCAAGTTAGTTGTAAGTCAATATAGCTGATATCTGGATGTTTACCTGTGTACATGCTATAGATAACAAGAGGCAGGTGAATCTTCCATTAATCTAATTAATCCAGGTTGTTTGTATGTCAGGCCAGTCTTAATTGAGGGTCCACTGTAATTGTAATTTTCCGCTTTTCAAATTTCATTAGTGCTGTTCGTCACAGGGCCAAGCACATGATCAAAATGTCATCAAAACATCACAAATGAGTTAACAACTCAAAACCAAACCGCTAGCAGAATGTTCCTCCCAGAAGATCGTAGGTGAGGATCTGACTGCAAAAGTCCTGGGGCATCGGGGAGGCGGGTTCAGCTTTGCTCAAATTCTTATAATGAGACCTTTAGCTGGTTTTTAAAATTTTCATTGGCTTGGAGATTAACACACAATAGTCCTCACAACAGCTGGTACTGTTACGACTAAGGAAGCAAAACTTTACAATATGTAATCAAGATCTAATTAGCACCAGTGATTTGATATTGATTGAACTTGTTTGGGGCAGGGAATCACAAGTTTTTCCAGTGTATTCCATTAATCCCCTAATACCTCCAAAGTTGGAGGTGATGGGCCTTAGGTGGTTTTTCTGAAAATTCCCTAAAGTAAGTCAGTGTCATTTCTTTGTTTAGGCAAAATACACACAGAAACTTTGCCCAACAGTAATGGCAAAACCTGGCCCCTGAGGCCCATGTTGGCAGAGGAATTTGGATCCTGGACATATGAATAAAGAAGACACTTTTTTGTCTTTTCATAGACAATATTTGCTTAACTCTCTGACTCAAACTTCAGACATGCCAGAACTGTCCAATGTTTACTTTGTGTTGCTACTCATATATCGTGGGGTTTAAGTTATACATTAAAAAAAGATTTGCAGCACTTTCTAGAAAGGATACTTAGAAGCTATAATTGGCAGGCAACCTTGAAATTCGATAAGCCCAGGAGCAAGGGGAGATGGGCACCAGTTATCACAGTCTACTAGGCCAGTTTTACCTGCAGAAGGGCCAGGCCCTTAGGGAGAATGGAACAGAACTGAGCCTGGAGCCCGAGAGCTCCTGCTGGATGCAGTCGGCAGTGGATCCCTCCTGTGGGTGACCCATCACTTAACACCCTTCGCTCTGGGCTACACGAGCGCCATGCTTCAGGGGCCCAATTTTTACCGTCTTCTCTGCTGCATGATGGAGAGGTGCGTGTTTATTTTGCTGGCTCACTTTCTTTGTCCAAAGCTGACTTCGTGACTCTCAGAAAACTAAAGGTACCATTAACTACTAACTGTGTTGCCGAGACCTGGTTGTTGCCCATGTCAGTCAGATACCTCAGCATTCAGAAGGATTTTAGTGGAGTAAGTACTCAGTTGGAAGATCCTTAGTGTTTTTTTTCCTTTTAAAGCTTCCCAAGGCCAAATGCTTTTACTGATTTAAAACTAGAACTGGCAGGAAATGGAGGATGAATATGATCAAAATACATTATACACACTGAACCCAAACCAACTGTGAACGAGGGGGCAGAGGGACAAGAAGTTGAGGAGGGCATCCTTCACGTGTGCTGTGCGTGTATACAAATCAGCCAAAACAAAGCCTATTAACACTCATAACCAATATGCACTAATAAAAAATGTGGGGAAAACACCCAAAAAGCAAAAAAATAAAACTAGACTTGACTTTCTGTGAATGAATTCCAAGCACTGAGCCCCATGTCTAGTATCAGCGCTGAGGAAATCCTCCTGTGGACTGCACAGATCCTTCCTGTCTTGTTTTATTTAAAAAGTGATTTGTTAACTTTAGGCTCCTAACTTCCACCTCCCAGTTCTCATGCAGAACCCGCCTTTACCAAAGAAGCCATCCTCAGAACTACTGGCTTGAGGGCTTGAATCTTAAACTTTGATGGTGTATTAGTCTGACAGGGTCCCCGAAACCAGAACTACAGATGCCCAATGGATAACTGGAGCTTGGCATCTCTGCTTTCATTTTTTTCTCTCCTTTATTGCTTTACATCTTTGGGTCAGATCCCTGCTCAGCCTTGCACATAGTCATGCTAATTACTTAAGGAGTGTCTATAATACAAGGTGTGTTAGCTCTGAATTTACTGAGCCTGCCTCATCCTCCTTCAATATTGAAGACACCAAGATATGAGTAATTGAAATCATCTCCAGGATTGCTGGGACACTCACTTACCAGTTTTCACAATATCCGGCTCCAGATCCAGGCCTACAAATCTCCGGTCATTGCCCTAAACATGCGGACCAGCCCATGATGAGGCCACTGTCCCCAGCCAGAGCAGTTACCCTATGAGAACTGTGCCCTCTGCTAATCATCCCTGAACCATCAGATCATGAAACAGAATTTTCCCTCACACCACAGGATATGTCTGGAGGTACAAAACCAAGATCAGAATATTGATTAGCCAGACCCAGCCCAGCACCCCAAAATATTGGATCCCATTCTTTTGTTCATGGACCATTCTGATCTTTTTTATGAGGTCTGTGTCCCCTTCAGTTCCTCAAGCTGAAGTCCTTTCCTATTTTCTCTTATTTTCCTTTATTAAGTGTCAGCCTTGATTTTCATCAAATTCTTAAGCTAAAGTCCCTTGCCAATCTCTCTTACTTTCCGTTTGAAATGTTTCCTTATAAATCTGTGCTGGATGCCTCAAATTTTAATTTCTGTAATCCCTAAAGTAAGGACTCTGCACCAGCTGGTGACGTTAGGAGTGGTGTGAGTGCAGCAAGAGGAGGACCAATAAAGCCAATCAGAGCAAAAACAGGGGCCCCAGCCCTTCTGCCAAGGAGTCCCAAACAGGGCCACTCAGAACCGGGCTGCACAGCAGGAGACAAGCAGCGCGCGGTAAGGGAAGCTGCGTCTGTATTTCAGTCACTCCCAGTCCTGTGTTGCCACCTGAGCTCCGCCTCCTGTCAGATTAGCAGCAGCCTTAGATTCTCATAGAGCTCAAACCATGATTATGCACCCAAGAAACCTGAGCTGTGCACTCTGTATGTGAATGTAATTCTGAAGCATTCCTCCCACCCCGTCCAAGAAAAAATTGTCTTCCACCAAACCATTCCGTACTGCCACAAATGCTGAGGACCCCTGGTCTGAGGCCCAACCTCATTCCATGCCTGTGCCCAGTGGTTGAAAGAGAAAAATGTAACGGAGACAATGAGGAACTTAAAGGATCAGAAACTAAGTCATTCCACCAACTCTCCACACAAACATACAGAGTGCTTGTATTGATGCTATCCTTAATGGAACCAGAGCAATAAAACTGATGTCTATTAAAACTTAAGAAATTGTTTGCCTCTGATTTTTTATATGACAAAATGAACATCTTAAATTCTGTAAAGTGAATCAGTGTCTTTGTAAAGTTAAAAAATAAATTCTGTATAGGAAATGCATACTAATATCTGAAAAACTTTTTAAAAATAAAAATGATGCTCATAAGGTGGTGTGAAGAGATCTCTCCACATTAGTGTTGCACACATCTGTTACGCATGTGATGAGACACAAAGTGACTTCCCTAAGTCTCTAGCCCTGGTGAAGGGTGACTCATTTTGGGGGGTATCAGGGATTGGACTCAGAACTTTGTGTTTGTGAAGCAGGCGTTGGCAACACTGAGCTAAATCCCAGCCCTCAGATGACAACATCCCCCCTCACCTTGACAGCTGTGACACCAAGCAGTGTCCAGCTAGGCAGTGACAGGAAGCAAATGATAGTTGCATGTATGGTGACTGTGACACAGGAATAAGAGTCCCCAATGTCACAGACCCCTGCAGCACATCCCGATCTCCTGCTTGGTGCTGTGACGCTTGGGGGGAAAAACCTTAGAGACAGAATTAAAGAGACAAAGATGATCAGTATTTGAGCAAGCAAAGGCCAGAACAGCCAGAACTGCCAATATTTGGTGGTGACATAGTCACTGTTAATTGGGGAAAGGGTTTATGTGTTGCTGCTAGGGATGTGTTGCTGAAGCAGACAAGGCTTATAAAAGAAGAGACAAAGCAACCTTGTGTTAGGAACAGAGCCGGCAAGATATAGGCTGTAGTTCACAAATATCCTTGTCTTTTTAGTTTTGAAGGTTTTCATTTTGGGAACAGAATTTGGATGCAAGTCGCTCTGGTCTTAGCTGAGTAACGTAGGCTTTGTTTGGACTCACTTCTTAAAGCAAGCCAATTGCAGGGTGAACTCTTTACAGCCCACACTACTTGTAGCCTGCTCTGGGCATAATCAACAGGGTGGTCTCCCACACCCCGAACATCGAGGCAGGTCCATTGGATTGTCCCATTTCAGAGGTTTGAGGCAAAGACATGAGGAAGAGCAACCAACTTTCCTTCCGGTCCAGTTCACTTCGCTTTCACCGCCTCCTCTGCTGTTCTTCGTTTAGCCTCATCCGCCGGACTCTCAGCTCATCCAACGCTGGGAAATTCCCGGAGATGAAACTGAGGCCCTGGACGTGGGACAGCCAAGACCACTCCTCTAACCCTCTCTCAGCCCCTTCCACCAGGGCCTGCTGCATTTTCCCAAAACACTTATTTTTACTGTTCATTTGACCATGTGTTCAGACTTGTGGATCTTCTCTTATTTTGGTGAAGAAGGTATTGAGCTGGCGATAGAGAGAAAAATAATAAAAATAACAAAATGAAATAAAAATATAAAAAATGAAATGTCTATATAACATTTATTGTGATTATTATAAAATGTTTACCATCGAGAAATAATGGAAATTAGCAAACTACCTCACATATGATTACCTGAAGGCTGATAGGTACTATGTTAGTGTCAAGATTCAATCAAAATAGATCAATGTTTGCAGGAAACTGGCTATGGCCAAGCTATCTGTGCACAGCACTGAGTACCACATGGAGCTACGGCTGTACAGACACTGCTTCTACCTAGGGGACACTGCCCGGGACTGGCAGGAAGCCCGCCACCCCTCACACTGCAAGACCTGAGGTCCATTTCCGGCTCCATGAGGCCAGGCACGGCTCTTCTACCCCATTCTCTCACACTTGAGCACTTATAATCTTGTGCAAGAGAAGTTTAGCATCGTCGGCCACTGCATCGAGAAATTTCCAAAGTAGAAAGCGGGTTTTCAGAAACTGGAAGACAACAGATGGGACACCTCCATTCACCGAGCAGAAGGTTTCGACACAGCTCATGGCCTTTGCTCCTGCGCTGTCGTCCTCCACGAGGGACCAGAAATCCAAGCACTTGGTGTAGCCCTTGATGTCCTGCACAGATGTGCCCAGCTTCTCAGCGATCTCTTTAAGCGACTCATCGTCCAAACCGAAATAGCCGCGGTAGAGCTTCAGGCGGGCTTCCTGCTCATGCACATCGAAGCCTTTGATGAGGGGTGCAAAGGGGACGAAGGCCGAAGCCGAGGACCTCACAGCTTCCAGCCAGATCTTCCCCCTGAGGACAGCTCTCTTCAGCTCGACAGTCTCATCAGACAGCGTGGGCAACATGAGCACGAACACTTGGCGCTTGTGAGCAGGCAGCTCCGCCAGCAGAGTCTTCTCCAGGCTCGGGAAGTCAAAGTCATGCAGGTCGAAGTTGGAGACCAGGAAGACCCGAGGGTCAGGCACTCCGATGTCGCTGAGGTTAGCCAGGCAGTAGTCTCGGATGTGCTGGAGGACTCGCTCCCTCTTGAAGGACTGGGGTTTGGCTTCCTGTTCGTTATATAAATCGCTGTCCACCTTGGTTCTAACAAAGTAGAACTTCTTCCCTAGTGCCTTGATTTTCTGGACCAGGAGAGCATCATGGAGACTAAAGCGGGAGGAGGAGACGATGATGAAGAAGTCAAAGCTAGCGAACCCCACCTTCTCCAGGTAGGTGTCCGGGGAGAATTTGGGCGTCCCGGTCCCAGGCAGGTCCCAGAAGGTCACGTTGGGATACTTTGGGTGTTGATAGGGGGTCTTCTTCATGGTGGTCTCCACGACCCCCACATCAGCCGCCCCCTCGTCGTCGTGACCAAGCCCCCTCAGGACGTTGATGAAGCTGGACTTGCCAGTCCCAGACTCCCCGATCACAGCCACCTCCAGCACAGCGCTTTCTGCCGCACTGAATACTTCTTGGATCATGTTCACCACAGCCTGCAGATTCCCCTCCATGAAGACCTCATCGAGTCTGCCCAGGGTTTCTGCAGGGAGGATGCCTCCGGCCTTACTGACTAAGGTAGCATAGTGAGATGCGAAGTCGGCAGCCAACTGCTGAAAATTCCCTTGTGACAGATTCTCCAGGAAGGCTGAGATGAACGCATCCATGGCAGTGGACGAAGGGAGGTCTGTGGAAAGCAGAGAGAACGGAGTTACAGAGAGCCGAGCGTCCAGCACAGAGACGGGGTCGGCTGAGGAGCCGCGCGGGCTCTGGGGGCCCCTTCACTCCCTCACACTGAGTCCTGTCACCTAGCCAGTTGGTTTCTCCTGTGAGTTTAGGGTCCTGCCTCCTCTCCGCGCTGTTGGCGTCGGCCTCCCAGGAGTCTGCAGGGCTTGGAAGACCGAGTCATGGCCTGCGCCGGACCTGTGTCTGTGGAACCCGTGTCAAGGCTCTTCACGTGTGGCAGCGCTCCGGGGTCTCCGGTGGTTCACTGACACGAGAGAGTCCTGACGCGGTTTGAGGCAAGAGGACCAGGAGGAGGCGGGAGGAGGACGCACAGTGGAGCAAGAGCCAGAGAGAGGGCTGCGGCTGAGGATGTGGAGAAGCCAGAAAACTCTGAAATGTAAGCATTTGATGAAGCCAAAGCAACCCCGGGAGACTGTGCTAACGTGAGGCCCTTCCGTCCATTCAGCACCTTCAGACAGTTTTCAAAACAATAAAAATCGTGACCCTCAAAGAGATACAGAGTGAACACACTGTTACATCTGCTGGGTCTGGGGTCTGGGGGCCCAGACTCACCCTTGCGGGGTCTGTCTCTCCCCCTGACACAGAGAGAGGAAGAGGAGGCGGAGAGCAGTGCGGAGTGAAGTGATTTTTCTGGAGGTGCTGAAGGAAGTGGGACAAAGTCACCGGGGAGGAGCGGTGTGCTCAGAGCGCAGTCACCCTGAGTCTGGGGTCCTGCTCTATACGGTGGAGGTCCCGTCTGCCCACCTCAGGGTCCATACTTGACTGACTGGATAGCAGGCTTGTTAGGGGTTTGACCTTGTGGGCTATGGGGATTTTCCAGGGCAGCCTGTTTTGGGGGAGTCACCTACTTGAAGGGACACTTGAGGGGGGCAGAAACCTGCACAGACCGAGTGTGAACCACAGCTGTCAGCTTCAAACTGCAAAGCTGCCTGGCCATCGTTTGCCGCCCTCAGCCACACAGAGCCTGCCTCTTCCACCCTCTAACAGGGCCTGGGTCTCTTCACCCTCCCGAGGGGTCCCATCGGACCCTACAACCGGAAGGATGGTTTTACAGACTATGAATGAAGTAACACGGCAGGTGTTGGCAGCAGTGGAGTCCTTCAGACTCTGAGCGGGTGGACACATTCGTCCTCAAGAGCCTTTCTGTGAATGGAAACGTGAGGCAAAGTCCTGCCGGCGACGGGGGGAACGGGAGTCACTCAGACAAACAGATTTGAGTTATGTGTCAGCAGAGAAACACTGCATCGCTTCCTGGCCTTTGGGCTAAGACCAAGTGCAGAAACACTGTCTGCATTACCAATTATGAAAAACAGACTGGTGACATATTTCTGTGCCACTGACACGCTGGTGTCACGAAACCCAGGTGTTTGGACAGCATGCTGCACAGTCTCCAGGGAGACACCCCGCAGAGGCTCTGCTCAGTCCAGGCTTTCTCACAACTACAGCAGCAACCACCGCAGCCCGGGAAGGGCTCTTCAGACACAAGTTTCCCCACTGTGTGAAGGCGGCTCGAGGACTGGCCTCCTGCACCAGACAGGCGACCCTGCCCCTGGCCTCCAGGTCCCCGAGCTCCTCACTCACCAGGTCCAGACAGGTCGCAGGGGACTAGAGCGGGTCCGGTGTGTGCCCTGGAGGAGAGAACTGCTGAGCAGGAAGTGCCCGCTGCTGTCCACAGCACAGCGACGAAGCCCCACTGAGCGCTGTCCTCCCAGGAAGTGGCACAGAGAGCAAGAGGGAAGGGGTGCGTGGTCCGGGCACCCCTGTGCTGCAGGGAGCCCCGGTGTGCAAGGAGGAAGCAAGGAACTTCTGCAATCTCTGTCTGGGGCTGTGTCCTCAGCAAGGATTGGGCAGACTGTTAATAAAACAAAAAATGAAACCTGGCAGGCAGCAGAGTTGTTTATGGGCAGCAGAAGCATTTCCAGGAAAAGGAAACTGAACAGCTTGTGACTGCAGGGTGTTTAGGGAAGGCGAGGTCAGGCAGAGACCATAGTCCTCAGGGTGGGCACCACCAGGACCCGGGGATGGGTCTTCCAGGGCCAGGGGTGCTGGGGACACTTGGGCAAGTTTCCAAGCCTTCCGTGACAGGGGAAGCATTCCCCAGTGGGAAGAGGACTCCAGGGACCGTCCCGTCGTGAGTTCCCCTGAGGAGCGCTGCGCTGACTGCCCTCTTTGCCAGCACTGGCACCAGTGGCCCCGGCACAGCAATGGGGACAGAGCTCCCCAGGGACCCCATGACTGGGGGGCTTCATCACACTAACAAGGGAGCCAGGCTGCTCATACCCAGCGAGAAGGCAAGGCTGCAGAGAGGAGACAGGGAAAGGGAAGGGCCTGGGGTAGAAGCCTCTTCTGCAGATGCCGCTCTGGGGCTGTGGACAGCCCTGCCCTTGGCAGTGACTTTCAGCACCTTGTGGTCTCAGGAAACACTGAGGATCTGCAGGTCTCCTCCCACCACTCCCAGGGCAGCTGCAGTCACCAAGAGCCAGTCCTGCGCAGGTGCGCCAAAGCAACCAGCTGTGCAGGGCTTAGCGAACTGTCTCCAAATAGGCCCTGCCCTCCTCTAGGTCAGCAGGGTTGAGTTTTGGCCTTTCTGCATTTGACAAAAGCAGAACAAAGGTCCCAAACCACTCAAGAGCTAGGTGTATGGACATTTCTTCTAATAGTGAATGCCAATATAACTAACAACAGGCAGAGGCACTGCCCAGGATCCTTCAGGTTTCCTGGGCCTTTCCCTGAATTCTCAGCTGGAGCTGAAACATGGTGCTTGCATCTGAGCTGAGGGGTGAGGTCAGCAGCCTCTGAATGCAGGAGAGAGAGGAGGCCCCATAGCGCCGTCTGACCTCAGCTGGGCAGTGCTGTACGGGCAAAGATGAGAAACGGGCTTTACAGACAATTGCAAAGCAGAGCAGACCTGAGCAGGGGACCCAGAACACTCGAAATGTTGATCACCAGTTTGTGGCTAAGGGAAGCAACTTGGAGGAGGAAGGAGGGTAACTGCATACAGGGAGATCAGGACAACAGCAAAAGAAAGAGTGGAGCCCAAAGGCTGAGAGCTGAACTCGCTCAGGCTCTCTGGGACCTGAGGAGCCGACGTCACGTGACCCCTGATAGAAGGTGATCTGGGGTTCACTACGGCAGCTCTTCTTGAAGTCCACTGTCACCTCTGAATTTACACAGGAGCAGATATCTCGGGGCAGGGAGAGGCCCGAGGGGATGAACCTGTGACTTCTAACCCAGTCCTCCGACTCTCCTCCAATGACCCTGACAATTTTGACCACCTGTGCTATGGTGAAACTGAGATTCATTATTTCTAACTAAACTACTGTCCTATTTTGACTAAATGCCACCATGAACTAGTCAGAGGAGGGGCTGAATACCGGGAGTGAGGCCAGGATGCTGGGAAGCCCTCTTCTTGCTTTTGTAGCTCAGAACCCCTGGGTCCATTACCAAAATTCAGGGCACAACCACGAGGGAAGCATCGGTGGGGAGGTGAGCTGCCCTGACCGTGCCCTGACCATGACAAGTTCCAGGGTACTAAAGAATCAGGCACGGCTGCCTCATGATTCTGGGATGGCCCTGACACATTACCTCCCACCCCCAGGGTGCTCTGTGGGATGAGGAGGGAGAGAGGCCAGCAGCGACCCTTACTCTGGTCATCCAGAGACCAGGGCAAGCCATTCCCTCAGGGCGTCAGGGCCTCCATGATGTAGCTGGACAAGCAACACACGAGTCAGGGTCACCTGTGGCAACCCCATCCGTGCGGGACAGAATACACTTTATCCAGAGCTGAGCCAGCACCACTGTCTCTGAGGGAGGCCAGGACCGTTTCCTCATTTACAAAGGAAAGGTGGGTGACTTCACCACCCAGCCCAACGGAAGAGAAAAGGCCGTGCTACCTACATGTGTACGTATGCATGTGCCTGCTCACGTCTCAGACGCCCCAGAGCTGATGGCTACACGCAGCACTGCGATTCAGCACCCAAAAGTGGAGGAGCACGAACCCTGCAGATTCACAAGGTTGTGGAAGCTCAGTAACGATCACAACTGTGTCAAGAGAGCACTGGAGAAGGAAAGAGGGAGACCCGTAGGGGGACAGACCTCTCGGGACGCTGGAGGGTGTGAGGAGGAGTTAAGACGGGCAAAGCTCACCACAGGGATGTACCTTTACCCCTCTTCCCTAACGGAGTAAGATTAAATAGGGAAAAAGCTTCTGTTTGAGACAGGAGCGTGGACACGTCCAGTCTCTGCGACTGCACACAGCCGAGAGATGTGTGGAACAGCATGGTCAGCACGGCCACACGCCCAGTGGGTACTGACTGTCCTCATCAGGCGGGAAGCCAACCACAGGAGGCGCAGGGCCGACTGAAGCCAGCGCTTCTGCACGTCTGTGCACAGGTTTGCGAGTGTGTATGCATGCATGTGTGCACAGGTGTGCCATGCCTCAGTGCGTACACACGTGGGTGTGTGGAGAGAGGTGTGGACTTGGGTGACATCAGCCTGAACGTGCTGAATTTTCTCTAGGTAGAAAATACACTTGGTAATCCTGCTCTTTTCTGTCCCCTGCTGGGCGCCGTGTGACTTGTACCTTCACTCAAGAAACTGGTGTAAAGAGACAGGGGACCACGCAGGCCCTAGGTGTGGGTGTAGAAAAGCACAAGCTGTCCATGTTTGGGTAGGAGCTGCCCAAGAAGGCAAGTGCCAGCTAGCTTCATGCCCTCCGTGCAAGGGGCCACCTCAGGAGCTGAGCTGGGGGAAAGCGGGGACAGCTCCGCGGAAGTGGGGCAGGATGAGGCCTCAGACGTGGGCTGGGGGAGCACAGCACGGCACGGGGGCCGGGTTTGGTGACGGAGGCAACAGTGAGGCCAGGTCCAGGCACCAACTACGATGAGGGAATGGAGGGCCCTGGGCCGGATGGCTGGCGCCAGCGCCTGCTGAGGTGGTGCTGGAGGCGAGGGCCCCGTGCAGGCAGCCAGCACCCTGTGAAGAAGGGTGCAGCCTGTGGGCTCAGGGAGGAACCCGAAGGAGGAAAGCAGAGAACACCTCATAGGTGGAGAATCGCAAACTCTGGAGGGCTCACCGGTCCTTCCCAGCCAGGCGAAACATCCCGGGAGAGGGACAGCCGGGCCTGGGGGAACACATTCTGTCTTTCGGCCTTTGAGGACCCACTGTGCCGATGTCCACAGGGGATGGATAGTTGCACAGGAGCCATGGGGGAAGGGCAGGGCTGGACTCCCAGCGCCCTGAGACTGCATGGGCAGGCAGTGCTTGCTCCCAGTGCCCGGGGCAGGGTTTGGCGAGCGCTGTGGGGTCTCCTCCATGCCTCACCGTCCAGCCCGAGGCCCCTCTCCCTCCACGGTGATGGAGAGACACTGAGTACTCCTCCCCGGCAGGCCCTCTTCACTCAGCCTTGAGCGGGGAGGCTCACTGGAGGCTGTGGGGGTTCAGAGAGCGGGATGGCAGGGCTGCCCTGGCCCTGAGAGCAGCGCCACTCCTCCTGCCGGGCCCTGCCTCCGCTGGGTGGGAGGCTATTCTGGTCCCCGTGGTGGAAGTGCTCCTTGGCTGTCAGCACTGTTTCCGTGCTCAATGCGGAGCCCCCAGAAGCCTAGCTCGTCTAACAAACTTCAGACTTTTAGGAAATCACAACCACCTCGCCCCGGTTCAGGACCTCCTCCCTAGGAGACAACCGAAGCAGGGACAGAAATCGTCTTCTTCCCACCCTGGCCACGACCTGCTGGGCAGAGGGAGGCCAAGCACGCAGGGCAGGGATGGACTTAGGTGGATGGGGCCATCCTGGCCCTGATGCCATCCTGTCTTCGGGGGTGTGTAAAACTTTACACCCATAAAATAACTAGCGACACGAGTTTTAGAAGGATGAACAAAATCACTTTATTGGAAAGGGGAGAAAAATAGGAAACAAGCTCACTTTATTGGGAAAAGGAGAGAAAGAAGGAGACGGACAGCTGACTGGTGGGAGGGAGGTCAGGAGCCAGAGCTGCTCTGGGCTCTGTGGCCTTGGGCTGGCCGTTCCCCTCCAAGGCCCACATGTGCATTCCTGGAAACCCACGGCCTTGGTCTCTGTGCCGATCAGGTGCTTAGCTTATCCTGTGAGACGGACAGCAGTCACGTTCACGGCTGAGTGAAAGGGTTCCTGCGAATCCTACAGCATGAATGAAAAGATCTGTGTGTCCTTCTAGATGGGTGCGCGTCTAGTGTCAGTGTACGTTACACACGGAGTGAGTCTGATGATGGGGCCCCACACTGTCTCACCCTGCTGAACCGGAGGAGGAGCAGGAGCGGGGAGGGAGTTGAACCTTGTGCCAGGCCAGGGCCTTATCAGCTCTCTCCTTTGTCTCTCTCAGCTACTCTCTCCAGCAGGGTTTAACTCTTTCTTTGCCAGAAACTTGACTGAGCCCCTTTAACTTTCCCTGCCTGTCCCCCAAGTTCCCTACAGTGTGGTGCAGGCTGCTCACAGAGAACATCCACCCGGATGTCCCCGTGTGTGTCAAGGACGGGGCAACCAGGACCTACAAGGCTCCTGTCCTCTGCTTGTTTTCTGCAAATGCTGACCGACCTCATCTTCCCCAGCAGTGCCCTGAGCACAGATACCCTCCCGCAGTGGGCTTTCAGCTATACTCTCAGGGGAAGGAGAAATCAGGGCGGCAAAGTCACTTTCCATATCGCACAGGCATATGAGGGCTTCCTAAGTTATCTGAGATCCACTAACTGACTCACTCTGTCCAGGTTACAACCACTGCCTCCGGCCCGGGGCACACGCTGGATGAGGAGGTGAGACACACTGGGTGAGTGCCCACCTGCCTGCCCAGGGAGGGAGACGTGCCAGGAGCGGCAGGTGAAGGTCTGCAGGGAGCCGCTCTGCCTCTGGGGCGGTGGAGGGGCGGGGCCTCTCCTGTCTGCACGGAGCCCTTGAGGGGTAGCTGCCCCCACGTGGGTGGGGGATCTCAGTGGGGAGCAGCCGGTCGGGGGGATCTCAGTGGGGAGCAGCAGGTCGTTGGACTGAGGGAGGGGTGGGAGCAGACTTAGGGAGCCAGAACTGTGCTCCCCCAGCACAGCAGCCCTCTCTCCCCTCCCTCCCCAGGAGAGCGCAAGAACAGCCCAGCAATCGAATCCTGGAAACCTGTCATTTCCAGGAACAGAAACTGAAAGTCAGCTGGCCTGGCTGGATCCCTTCTGTGAGAGGAGGGAGGCAGGACTCAGAGGTAGAAATAGCAGAGCAGTTAGCAGGAGCCTGCCATGGCCTGAAGTCTGGAAGGAAAGCCAGGAAGGCCAGATCCTCCTCCTCCCCTCTCTCCCTTCCTGGTTTTCCGCCTTTGGAGGGGGGCCTCGCCCTCCACACCTCCTTCCCATCCTTTCTGAATACACGTGGCCTGCGTTCTAATTTGGGGTCTTCCAGAAGGAGCAGCCTCCTCCCCGAGGGTCGCGAGAGTGGATGACTTCCAGGAAGGGCCGACAACACCTGGTCCCACTCGCCCCCGTGAGGCAGGTAGGTGGGAAACTGCTGCCTGTGCTTGGCTGACAGCTCTGCTCACACAGAGCCGGCAAAGCTGGACCCCTGACGCCCCGACCCGTCCTGCCATGGCGTCCCGACAACGCCCTGTCACGCCCTCGGGTACCACCCTGCACAGCCACATTCGTGGTGAATCACCCCCACCCCAACAGCAGGGCCAACAGCGCCTGTCTCTCACCTGCCTGCTCCTGGTGTTGTGCGGAGGGACCAAGTTGGGGGAGAGCCAGCAGGGGCATCACCTGGGTCTCTTGGACTCAGGTGGAGCCTCTTGGTTTTCACTTGGAGACAGACTCCCAGGATCCCATTCAGCCCCGGGCAATGTCTGGGAGAGTCTGGACTTTTACAGGGAACGAATTCAAATATTTTTACCTGCTTTGGAGAAATGGACTCTTGCAGAATCTCTACTTATTTATTTATTTGCTTTTTTGAGGGTATCACTATGTAGTTCAGACTGCCCTAGAACTCACTATGTAGCCCAGACTGGTCTCAAACTCACAGAGGTCCTCATGCCTCAGCCTCCAGAGTGCTGAGATTACAGGAGTGCACCACCACACCCGGCTTCAACTCATTTATTTATGGAACAGTGGGGTGGGGGTTTCTTTGTTGTTTGTCTGTTTTTCTGTGTGTGGTTCCTTTCACTTCATGTCCTCCAAGAAGGAGGGAAGAATTAGTTTGGTCCGTGGTTTGGGAGGCTGAGTCTGTGGTTGCTCCTCGCCTACCTCCTTTGACCTGACCATTTGGAGTAGAGCCCCTCCTCAAGCCTGCCCTTATGAGGAATGCTTACAACACATAAGGCGCATCAAACCCTGGGTTTGAACTTGACAGTAGCAGGCAAGGGAATCAGAGTTAGACTTGAGAACAAAGTGCTCCTAGCCACCACTGGCTCTTTCCCTCTGGTCGCTGCTCCCATCGCAGAATATTTTCCCGTCTTAGACCTAGTCCCGGATTCTATTCACCTGGCTTCCAGCCAGCTCCACCTCTTCCTGCAACAACCTACTGCCAAGCCCTTCACGCCTTCACCCAGATCAGCCTACCTACGGCAGGTGCACAGCCTGACTGACCTGTAGCCCCCCGGGACCCTGGGAGCGTGACAGAAAGTGGCCACAAGAGAAATGCTTCTGCATGCGGCAGTCACCGGTTCTGTTAAACAGGACTGTGCGCCATCCAGAGACGCAGGAACACACCCCGGTGTTCAAACACTGCACCCCTCACACACAGCCCTAGTGATTCAGGACTTGTTATCCATTCCTGACCCTCTGCTTCTTCTCCACATCAGGTACAATAATAGCACTTATCTAGTTGGGTTTGAAGAAGATTAAATGAGATAAGGCACACAAAGGACCCAGCCCAGACTCACAGACACAAGACCTCCTTCTGTGTTGTTAAGCAGGGGAACGAGGAACAATATTTCCTGAGGAGCGACGTCCTCGGTGCGTGTCTTCACAAGACCAGAGGGCCCTCAGAGCCGAGCTCCACATGTATCCCCGCAAGCCTAGGGAGGTGGGTAGCGTGACGTACCCAGGGCACAGGGCAGAAAACCGGGCCTTCGGAGACTTGGTTGTGCTCCTGAGCGGGCCCAACCTCAGCCCCAGGAGAGGCTGTCTGACCTCCACAGGGAGCTGAGGCCGGGCCTGGGACTGGACGAGGAGCAGCAGCCATGGGGAGCCGATGGCAGGAGCCATCCCAAGAAGGGCCCAGGGAGGGAGTGTGTTCAGGGAGGTTGTGGCAGCAAGAAGCTGCACCACGGGGCCTGCCGTGGCCACGAAACGTCCCCACATGGAGCGGGGGCCTTGGTGGCAGCATGGGGACGCTCCTCTGTGAGGACAGGACAGGTTTCCAGCTGCTTCAGGAGACCCAGGGGCGGGTGAAGCTGGGAGCTCCTCATTTCATAGAGAGATTCTGGGAGGCTCAGAGCAACTCTTCCGCCAAAGACACGGTTTTGAGTTTTAGGAGTTTGAAAATGTGCAGCCATGCACAGAGAAGTCAAACGGCAGTCACTCGTAACAGTGGGGCTGTGAAATCCTATGAGGCAGCAGGGACGTGCAGATTAGAAGCCTGAACAGAATGCAGTGGGAAATCCCAACCAGTTCTCTTTTTCTGGTACCGGGGATCGAACTTGGGACCTTGTGCTTGTGAAGCAGGCAACAGAACCACTGAGCTAAGCCCCAGCCCCCAGGTCTCTTCAGGATCCTACCCCGTGAATGTTCAGTCTCATTTCAAAGCCTCTGCCCACGAGAGACACATGTTCCTGGAAGGGCCTGGATGTCTTCATTAGTCAGACTGCCCAAGTCCATGCACAGGGTGTGCAGACAAGCGCTTCCTTAGAAATCTTAGGAGCTATTTGGAAAGGTCGTCTTCACTTCTCCATTGAAGTTGATAGGTGGCAGGTATTTACTATGCGTGCAGACCCTGGGCCGTGCCCTCTCCCTAGCTCCTAACTCCCTAACTCGCCCACAGCTTGCTCCCCTGCTGGCCAGCATGGCAGAAGACGCGGTGACCCAGCACACCCCACTGTCCACCTCCTTCACTTCGGTGGCATCGTATCACAAAGGCTGCAGCATCTCGCCTGAAGACAGCAGGAGGCTTGACAAGGCCGTGAGAGAAGGGAAGCTCCTGGACGTGGCTGCTGTGGTCAAGCAGACGGTGGAGACTGTGTCCAGAGCCCCCGTGAGCATCGCTGTGGCGGGGGACTCTGGCAATGGTATGTCCTCCTTTGTCAACGCCCTGAGAGAGATTGGGCACGAGGAAAAGACCTCGGCTCCCACCGGGGTGGTGAGGACCACGCTGACACCAGCCAGGTACACCTCCCCCAGGTTTCCCGACGTGTCCTTGTGGGACCTACCTGGCATGGGTGCTTCGGGCCAGAGCCTCGACGCCTACCTGGGGGAGCTGCAGTTCGGCCAGTACGACCTCTTCATCATCATCGCGTCCGAGCAGTTCAGCCTGAATCACGTGAGGCTCGCCAAGAGCATCGAGAGAGTGGGAAAGAGGTTCTACGTCACCTGGACCAAGGTGGACAGGGACCTCAGCACGACGCCCCTCTCCAAGGTCCTGCTCCTGCAGAGCATCCGGGAAAACATCCTGGACAGTCTCCGGAAGGAAGGGTTGCGTGACCCCCCCATCTTCCTGGTGTCCAGCCTCGAGCCATCGCTGCACGAGTTCCCCACTCTCAGGAGGAAGTTGCAAACAGACATCTACAACCTCAGGTGCCGTGGTCCCTTAGAGGCCCTGTTTCGCATCTGCGAGGTGACCGTGAATGACAAAGTGGCCTCCCTGCAGGCACGAGTGTCCCCCAAATATCTGCAGGACACCCTCGGTGTGGCGGATGCCGAAGACTTGGAGCAATGCCTGAAGGCCTACCGGTGTCACTTTGGCGTGGACGACGAGTCCCTTCAGCAGGTGGCCTGGAGCACGGGAAGAGTGGTGTCCGAATACAGGACCGAGCTGAAGTCCCAGGTTCTGCCTGTGCTCTGCAGGGCTGACTTGAGACTGAGGATCATGACCTGCAGGCTGGCCAAGGTGCTCCTCTGGCTGCTCGGGTGGGCTCCGTGGTGTGGCCCCCGTGCCATTCGCTTCTTCGCACTCATGAGACACAGACGTGTGATTCACTCAGTCGGCGAGGACACCAAGGCCATCCTGAGGAAAATTCTGGACGACTCCAAATGTCCTGCCTGAAATTCTGCTGTGGGTGGGTGCGGCACCTTCGTTCTCGCGTGGAAGTCAGGCCACCTCCGGGTCTCTTCTCCACCAGAAATCAAGAAATGTAAACCACTTTCTATTTATAAGGAATATGAGGTTAGCCAGCTTTTTGAAAGGAATTTAAAAAATCATTCATCTTAGCCTTAGTTTTAATGCATGGTTCCTTTGAGGAAAACGTATTTATTGAAATCATTAGCCAAGCTTCCTGAGTCCAGTACGTAGAGATTTTGCTCTCGGTTGTAGTTGTGATGTGGTTCTGAAGCAGCCCGTTTTCCCCAAAGCAAATCATAGTAAAGTCTTCTTCCTCGAAAACTTTGTATTCTTTTTCTCCTTCTTTCCCTGCACACAGCTGCTGAAGGCGCACGCGGCGAGTCTGGGGGAACCAGGTGTGGTCAAGACCGCCCTTTGTCCCCACTGGGTGCTGGGGACCAGATTCCAGGCAGGACCCAGCCGCACAGGTGCTCCACCTTCACGCCTCCTTACCAGGTGTCCGGAAAGAACCCGCATCTCGGGAGCGCAGGTTTCTATGAGTCTATGTCCTGGTGGAAACAGGCCCTCAGCAGACTGTGTTCTGGATCATCTGGGGAGAGTTAGCTGAGGACGTTTCTTTCAAATATGTGAGGAGAAGCCAGGAAGCCAAGGGAATGCGTCGGTCCCTGACTGAACTAAAGCAAAGCCTGACCCAGTAACATTTGGGTCTCTTTCTATTTAAAATGAAAGACTTAGCTGGGCGTGGTTGTGCACACCAGTAATCCTGACACTCAGGAGGCTGAGGCAAGAGGGTCACCACTAGTTTGGGGCTAGCCAGGATTACACAGTGAGACCCTGTCTCCAAAGAAAACACAACAAAACACAAAATATCTGCGTGGGTTGTGTAAGTGAAAATATTTACTGATTCACAGGGTCGGGGTTCACCCTGGAGTAGCAGCCTCAGCTTTGCCTCTGGTGAGAGCTTTACTCACCATTTGGGAAACCTGTGTGGACGAGACCGTGTGGTCACACAGGAGGCTGGGGGCTCACAAGCCGATGCACGTGCTTTATAGCAACCCACTCTCGGGACCTGATTGGGTCTCCGGCCTTGTCACTGTCCTTCCTAAGGGGACCTGACTGCCAGCCGGCTTCTCACGGGGACCTTCATCTCAGCGCTGCCAGGCTGGGCCTAAGCCTCCAGCCTCTGGAGAACGCACTCAGAGGGGATGGAAATACAAGCAGACCCTGGAGGGCAGACCGGAGGCCGGGATGGCGGCTGCGGCGGTGGGGAGGCGCTCACCGGCCCGGCCTCAGGCCTCCTCCCCACCCTCCCGCTTCTGCTGCCACCTGCCGAATACCAGCTCCTAGCAGAGACGCAGCCCCCTCGGTGGCCCTTCTGCATCTGCAGAAGAGAGCAGATCCGGGAAGGAAGGCAGTGTTTAGAAGATGTCTGCGGTGTAAGAGGGTGCCAGTGCCTTTCAGAAGGAGTTCAGAGAATGGCTGGGAGCCTGCGGGCTGCTGTGCTCCCTTTAGGATCCGCGCCCCACTGCTCTTGCTGCAGGGATCCCTCCGCCCCTGCTCAGCCGGCCTGGGCCGTGGGGGAGGGGCCTGGAGCGCCCCGCTCAGGCTGACCGCTCCTCCGCACTGTCTGTGGGTCGCACACCCCTGTTTTGCACGTCTGAGTGCACGGATTACGGCATAGTGTGGCTGCACTTAGTCGAGCGCTCAGCCGCCCAGCCGCAGCCCCATCCCTAGGACTTCCTGCATTTTTCCACTGCTCTAGCTTTCAGTGGTGTTTTGGACAGTCCGCTTGTTTTCCCCTCTCTCCCTCACTACCCTCCCTTCTTCCTCCTCTTTTTTCTTTCCCACCCTTCGACCTTCCTTACTTTTTAAAATCTGCCCAGCACTCCCTGCCCATCTTTGCCTCTCCCCTGTTCGGGGTCCGCCAGCACTCTCCGGGCAGTTGCGGCTCCCGCGATTCTCCAAGCTACTGGACAGCAGGACACCCGTGTGGTTATCAACTGTCTTAGCTCCTTTTCTCGGCACTGAGACAAAGGAGCCAACACCCACAGCTAAGGGAGTTTGTGGAGGTTTCGGTTCCTTGAGAGGGCGCCGGAGTCTCCGGAGGGCGGCGTGCGGGGCAGGGCCTTGGGGCTGCAGATTGGGGTGCAGGGGCGTGGCAGCTTTGCCCGCGACCTTGACCCTCAAGGGCATGAAGTCCCGCCCGTGATTTTCCCATCTCCTCCCAGTAGAGGGCGCTGCGAGCTTGCTGGGCGGCGGCGGGGGCGGCCGGGGCGGCCTGGAGGGTCAGGCAGCAAAGCTCAGTTAGTTACTGTGCAGCGGGAGGGGGCCTCAGGGGTCCGCGCAGAAGAAGAGACGCCCGGAGCGGGGCGGGAGCTGAGTCTGAAGAGAGCCAGGTCTCAGAGGGGACTCCTCGAGTCTCCCTCGAGACAAACAGCCATCTGAGGTCTGGGAGCCCAGGAAGGCCTCCGAGGCACAGCTGGGGACCAGAGCACCCGCCCCTCCCCATGCCTTGGTTCCATCCAGGGCCCCTCGCTGCTGACCCCTCCCCTACCGGATCCGTGTCAGCTGTACCCACTTCGTGGCATTGCTGTACCCGTGACCCCTGAACCAGGCCCGCCCCCAAATCCAGGAGCTGCTCTCCTTGTGCCCAGTAAAACTCCCAACTTCTTCCGTGGTTTGTGGCTCCATGCGCGAGCTGCAGAATCCCCTCCTTGCCACCAGCTGGTTCCGTTCTGTTGACAGAGTTCTCTCTGCTACACACCCGGACTCTCTGGTCTTCCTCCTGCCAGTCCTCGTGAGGCCAGCCCCCCCAGCCCCTCCTGTGCCCGCACCGGTGTGGTGGACAGGCGGGCTCTCTGGTGTGGGTGCACCCTGTGCTGGGGGTGCATGAGGACCCAGGGATGACACCTGTTCGACACCCTCCACGCCCCGGCGCCGGCCTGTGACCCTCACCCCACAGCCTTCCCTTTGGCTGACAGTGCGGCCAGGGCCTGCACACACCTTGCTCCCCAGCGCAAGCTGATGGTCTTCACAGTACCAAGCCCAATGTCCTGGGTCTCCATCTGTTCCCACAGCCAGTGTCAGGTTGTGATCCCTGCCTTTGGGACCATTAGAGCATGTGTGTGTGTGAGAGTGTGCATGTGTGTGCTGCTCCAGGGACCACTCTTGGCAGGACAACCAGTGTGGGGCACAGGGTCCCACCTCCTCTTAGGTAGCCACAAGTCTGTTTACTTCCTACAGGGTCTCTAAGTCTTTTAAGTCACATTTTTTTTTGTACCAGGGATCTCACTTGGGACCTTGAGTTTGCAAAGCAGGCAGCAGAACTGTTAGCTAAATCCCCAGCCCGTAAAGTTGTCCAAGTTTTTTTTTTTTTTCAGTACCGGGGATTGAACTCAGGACCCTGTGCTTGCAAAGCAGGCAGAAGAACCACTGAGCTAAATTCCCGGCTACAGTGCCTCTAAGTTACCCAGCCTGGCCTTCAACTTGTGATCCCCCTGCCTCACACTCCTGAGGGTCTGGATCGCAGGCGTGTGCCACCATGCCAGGCCTTCCTGGCTTCTTTCCTTCATCCACTCCTCTCTCTCCCTCTCTTGAAACAAGGAGTTTGCCTTCCCCTCATGTGTTGTTTTGGGCTGAGCGCTGTGGTCAGGGAGAGGCCTGTGTCCCGGCTGCGGAGGTCACTTTTGCACCTGTCTCCGGTGACACGTGACTCCCTGTTGCTCTGGTGTGCGTGCACCTTTTCAACTGCACGCATGAGGGCGGCCCTGGTCACTGTGCTTCAGGGAGAGAACACTGCTGGCTGTTCCGGTCCTACAGAGTCACTCATGCAATTGAACACTTGTGTAACAATTGCACACTGATTTCAATAACCCAGGTAGACAGTAGGCAATAAGTAGGTTGGGATGTACAGGATGAGGAAAGGAAAGGGGAAGAAGAGAACAGTACAGAAATAGGGAACGAAGAAAAAGAGACTACCGGCCAAGAAAACAGGATTTGATGGTATTTTTATATTCGGAATGGGGACAGGGGGACAAGGGTTTGAGAAACTTTCAGGAGTGGGGTAGAGGAAGGAGAGGGAGGGAAGCCTAGCCAAAGATTTCAGGACGCTGTGGACAGCCAGAGCCGCTTAACACAGATAGGAAGCTGGTGGTGAGCGCTTCATGCGCAGTGTTTGGGGAGGGCTCACCTGACGTGACCTGGAGAGATACGGTCCAAGCTAAAGCAGTGATTCACCGTACTGTCCGTTTCACAGAAGCAAGTCACATACACATCCTAAAGCAAGAAGAAAAGAAACTAAATAAGTACGTGTAGAAGTGATTTTAAAATACATGGTGCTTATAGTACTGGGGTCATGTAAAAGGAGGGGAGCAGGAGGTGGCATCGGAGAGGGTGTGAGAAGGACAGAAAGTAAAGGAGGAAAAAGGAGTTTAAATGGGGTGTGCGGGGCAGGTTGTCTGATTTCCTACCAAACCAGAGAACTGGTCTAGCTCGGCCTGCGCAGGAACCCTCGCCTGGGAGAACTTCGCGTTCCTAGGTGAGGAACCATGGAGACGGAGCGGAACGGAGAGTCAGGCGCTCACACTGTGTTGGGAGAATTTGCGTAACACAAATGCAGGGGCCGTGGCGGCCTTGAGAAGGGACCTGAGTCTAAAGAAAAGGAGGAAGGAGCGCAGTAGGTGAAGTGTCGCTAAGGGCACAGGGAGACCGGGACAAAGCTATGATGAAACCAAATGGCTAATTTAGTTCCTTAGGCAACAACCCTTGGCATGGGGAGCCAGTATTGCTGGGCAGGGGTAGGGCTGCTGCTGCTGCTAAGGGCGCAGGGAGCTGAGCTATTGCTCTTATGCTGGGTTTCCCATTGCTCTTTCCCTCCTAGTCCCACTTTTGTTGTATTCCACAGGTTTGGGTGTACTGTGTTCCTGCTGTCATTTATTTCAAGAAATTTAAATGTTTCCTTACAAATTTCTTCATTGATTCAGTGATTGTCCAGGAGCATGGTGCTTAATTTCCATGTGTTTTTACAGTTCCAAAGCTTTTCTGGTTTCTTTTTTTTTTTTGGTTTTTTGAGACAGGGTCTCACTATGTAGTTGAGACTGACCTGGAACTCACTATATAGCCCAGGCTGTTCTGGAACTCACAGTGATCCTCCTGCCTCAGCCCCCCGCCCCGGCTCTGGGATTACAGGCCTGCACCACCACGCCCGGCTATTGGTTTCTATTTTTATTGGTTGTGGTCAGAGGAGTTGCATGACGTGATTTCAGTCTCTGAAAAAATGTAAGCCAGGAGACGTCACGTGAGG